AAGTTGAGTTTTCTACTACTTGCAGCTAAAAGCATCCCAACTGGAAACATATATAGATTCCTCTGCTATGGATTGCCATAAAAAGATTTCATATATATTTCATAGTAAATATTACACTATATTGTATTCATCGATTTCCTGTCGGTCTCCTTCCCTAGTTTTTGAGTCCCCAGAAGACAAGCCTTGTGTCTAATACATTTCTGTATCCCCAGAGCATAATTTTTGTTGTTAGTGCCTGTGGAGTGGATTCTGACTCCTAGCAACCCTGTGTAGAGCAGAGCAGAACCCTGCCCAGTGTTTTTTGTGCCATTCTCTCATCTTCTGGAGCTATATCAGACAATGCTCTGCTGCTATTCATTGGGTTTTCATAGCCAATTTTTTCGAAATTGAGTGGCCAGGTCCTTCTTCCTAGTCTGTCTTAGTCTGGAAGCTCTGCTGAAACCTGTCCACCATAGGTGATCCTGCTGGTATTTGAAATACCAGTGGCATAGCTGTCAGCATCACAGCAACACACAGCTGCCACAGCATGACAATCGACAGATGGTGGTGTGGTGCTCTGACTGGGAAATGAACCTGGGCCACAGAACTTAAAAGCTCCAAATCTTAACTGCTGGACCGCCAAGGCTCCAGAGCATAATATAGGTCTCCAAACATAAATAAGTATTTAAACATTTAAAAAATGCTTGATGGATAGATGAAAGAGTACCTAGAGAAAAGAGGAGACTGTCAACAACAGTGTCTTCAGGAGAATCCACAGTTAGGATGAAGAAGAGAAAAGAGGGAACCAGGAAATAAAAGAGAGGTGTGCTCAAAGGGATAGAAGGAAAAGTAGTTAGGTCTGGGTCACAGAAGCCAAAATATTAAAAAAATTAATGTTAGGGTAGTCAGTGTCAGTGGGAACAAGAAAAACATGGGAGTGAAGAAAAGCCTATTGAGATTTGGTGAAGAAGAGATACCTGGGAACCTCTGGTATGTATTTGCCCAAGCAGACTCAAAGCCTCATGAGGACTTATTTCTCAACAATCTAAGTTACCCGCCCTCTGCAATAGAATCTTCGGCATAATCGGGTGCTTAAGCTGAAATTACTATTCTTAGTCAATGCAGCATTTAAGGGAATCTCAATAACTTTGTCTTCAATTTGGTTTCTGGTGACATCATCAGCTTTGGGGACCCCATACCCAACTGAAACTAGATCAAAGTCAAGAGTTATTACCATCATCATGAAATACGGTAAAATATCCTTGGACGAAGAAAGAAGAGATCAAATTTTCTCTGCAAGAAAGTGAGGAACTTTGGGTGTCAATTTCTTCAAACACAGCACAGCACCTGTCACAGATACGTCGGGTGGCGTGAAAAGGTCACCTCCTTGCAGCCTTACTTTCTTGCTCACAAGTTGACAGGGGGTTTCCCAGGGTGGTAACACTCTCGTTTAAGACATTCTGGAGCCCTAATTTCCATTTCAAATGATAGGTTATCTCTACTTTCGATTAAACAAGTAACTTTAATCTGTTGCCATGGAATTCTTCTGCATGACTTTGGTCTCTGAGAATGGTATGTTTCCGGGAAGGAGTCTTGGGGAAAGTCCCCTTCTTCAGTGCAAAAGCCCTTCCTCTTTTTCCATCCGGGAGCATTTGCCACTGCCCCACAAGTAGAGCCCATTAGATCTGGTAGGTATAAGTACCCTCTGAGAATTCTGTGAGATCTGTAGGAGCCCATTCAACCTGTAAACAGTTAGCTGAGAAATGTCAGAAACTCCCCAAATCCAATGAAGTTTGACCTCGGCATAGTCTCAGGAAAGTATGATTGTATTAGCATGTTTAATACTAAGTCCACTGTTTCCCATTGTTCCCTGTGGTAGGTAAAATAATGACTCATCCACCAGATGTCCACATCCTAATCCCCAAAACCTATGAACATGTTATGTTACATGGCAAAAAGGACTTTGCAGATGTGACTAAGTTAAATATTTTCAGATGAGAAGATTACCCTGGATTATCTGGGTGGGTCCAATGTAATCACAAGGGTCGTTATAAGAGTGAGGCAGGAGTGTCAGTCAGAATAAGATGTGATGAGGGCCGGCCCCGTGGCTTAGCGGTTACGTGCTCCCGCTCCGTTGCTGGCGGCCCGGGTTTGGATCCCGGGCGCTCACCAACGCACTGCTTCTCCGACCATGCTGAGGCCACGTCCCACATACAGCAACTAGAAGGATGTGTAGCTATGACATACAACTATCTACTGGGGCTTTGGGGGAAAAAAATAAATTAAATTAAAAAAAAAAAGAATAAGATGTGATGAGAGTAGAGGGGAGAAGGAGAGGGAGAGGGATTTAAAGATGCTATGCTGCTGGATTTGAAGATGGAGAAGGAATGTGGGTGGCCTCTAGAAGCTGGAAAAAGCAAGGAAACAGATTCTCCCTGAGAGCCTCCAGAAGGAACACAGCCCTGCTGACACTTTGATTTGAGGAGTTCTGAACTGCAAGAACTGAAAGGTAATAAATTTGTGTTGTTTTAAGCCACTAAGTTTATGCTAATTGTTATAGCAACAATAGGAAACTAATACACTTGACGTCATAACTTCCTTTGAAAATGGTCAAATAAATTTGCAGTCTCCAGCCTTCTTTTGGAAATTCACAGTGCACACTGGTTCACTAAAGGCTCTGAGAAGTCCTGTGGAAAAAACCTATCTAAGTTTACCCCAGTATTGACCATGGAAAAATTTTTAGCTGCAAACATCAATTATCATCCTGCAGAACAAGGTTCCTTTCTCAGAACACTGGTTTGAGGTAAAGCTGCTGATAACTCATTGCATGGTAATTTGACTGAAGCTGAAGATAGACGTGTTAACCAGAGGAGAAGTTAGTGTGGAGAGCTAGAAGGTGGTGAGTCAAAGAACAAGAAACTCTCAATGTGTTGCTCAACTGGTCCAGGAAAGCTCATTCTCACATACAAATATGAGTATTTAGTCCCTGCTCTCTGATCTATCCCTAGGGTGGGGCTATCACAGATAGATGACAGAGTCATTAAGATAATCCAAGGAGTTCCCCTAATTCTCATTCCTTGCTCCCCAACCAACCTTCTGCTATCATTAAGCTTCCCTTTCAAGTCTGGCCTGACTGGCTAACATGCCAACTCCAGTCTGATTAAGTTATCTGTACAACCAAAAACGAACACATTGGAATTCTGGCTTTGTATCTCTATCCCTTGTGATTTAGATTTGGTGAACATGAGTCCATCTCCAGGAGATTACTGACCTCTAAGTATCTCTGACAAAATTCAGTTTCTGGGCCTAACTAGTACACTATAAGGTCCTGCCTAAATTGCCAGACAGACAACCTTTCATAATGACACTTCCACCCTGCCTTACTCTGACTGCCACATCCCTCTTGGGGGCAATTTCCTTGTCCATAACAGCTCAGCCACCATTTAGGAGAAGTTTATTTAAAGTGCATTCATTTGACTGAGTTCACCTGCAGGACGAGGTCAAGCAGCATTGGATATGAGCAGAAAAGGGCTACAGGGGCAGAGAATAGGGGGCAACTTGGGACAGATACGAGGATCCTCCCTTTGGACCAATGCAATGAGTGTAAATGAGGCTAGTACATCCATTTCCTGTACTAATAGAGGGAGGAGGTCAGAGCAGAGAGGACAAGTAGTACCACATATCAATTCAGATCACTGGATAGAAGCCAGGTGGAATGCTGGGTTACAGTGTGTGGACAGCTATTGTCTTCCCAATACTTCATTTCAAGGACTTTTCCTTTCCCTTCCTCTAGCCGCATGGTATCAGTGGGAACTGCATGTTCCTACAATGTGACATGCAGCCCTCTGTCCATGGTTTTGTAAATCCCTCTTTTATGAGTTACATTTGGTTAGCAAAAGTTGATCCCCAAGAGCCTGAGTCCAGGGCTGGACACGTAAACCAAACTGAGCTAATAAATCCTTTCTGAGGGAATTTTTGAACTAAGAGAGAGGTCACTTTCTCTCTCTGGATGGTCAGATCCATAACATGTAAGACTTGGGTGGTATTAGCCGCCATATTTTCCTTCATGTGGACTGGAAAGAGAGAGCTGGTCTAACGTAAGAGAGAAGAATGAAACACAGAGGCAAAGAGGTGCAGAAGCAAGTGGTAGACAGAGAATCCAGGCAGCATGTATCCCATGGTTCGGGTCCATCTCTGAAGATCACTTATATTCAGGAACTTGGGTTTTGTGAGACATTCCTGAATCCATACTTAAAAAAAAAAATCACCTTTTTGTTCTATCTGTAAAATTGCGGTAATAACTCTACCTTCTACGGTTGATTTAAAAGAGTCTGTAAATTTGTAAATTTGTGAAGCCTTTAGAACCCTGCCTGGCACATAGTAAGTGCTAGATGATGATTTATTAAAAACTATTTTTGTTACTTGCAACCAAGAATGCCCTAACTAATAATAGAAGGATCCAAAGGGCATGCCCGGGCTGAATGGGAAAGAAGGCTGTGATCAAATAACAGTGCCTACTAGGACAGTGAAAGTGGGAGGCAACAGCACATACATATCATATACAACTCACTTCAGCAACTCAGGATACAAATTTTCAACATTTCTTTTAATGTTCAAATTATTATGACTCTGAGTTTTTACATGCCCATGTTGACAGGAAATTCAGCTCTTATCTTGGGGTCCCTTAGAACACAGTGTATGAGATATACTTCCTGAGACCACTATACAGCCTTGGTCCCTGGGCTGGATTATGTCCCACAAGGATGGTGGGGTATGGTTGTCCCAGACAAATGTTTCAAGATAAAGTAGGCTGGGCTCTTCCAATTCTTTCATACATGCGGATCTTTGCTTGTGGCTTAAATTTGCCCACAGGAGGGGCTGTGTTGAGGTAGAGTCTGGTATCAGTGGCTTCAAAGACTCGGCAGAAATGTCCCCCAAACCCCCTTGCACCACAGGACCCCCAGTGCAGGGGCAGCCACCTAGTCCTGTCTCCTTCTACCCTCATAGTGCTGTTTTTTTCCTTTAAGAGAAGTAAGCCTTTACTTCCTTGTTTCACAAATAAAACTGGCTGATTTGGTTGCTTTTGGTGATTAGTCAAACAGACCAAATCCCACATCCACGTCCAACTCCTCCAACTCTTCCTTTGCTTTGACCTTGGCTGGGGCTGCAGCAGCAGCAGGAGCAGCAGTGGTGGCAGTGGCCTTGATCCTCTCAGCAAGTGGGAAGGTGTAATCAGCCTCCACAAACAAAGCCAGGACCCGCTTGTACCCACTGATGATAGAATGGGGTACTGATGCAACAGCTGGGTAACCAATCTGCAGACATATGCTGGCAACATTACAGACACCCGAGAAGCGAGAATGCGAAGTTCCCTCTGTGATGTCAAGCACTTCAGAGTTGTAGATGCTGCCATTATCAAACACCTGCTGGATGATCAGCCCAAAGGAGAAGGAGGAGATGTTCAACATGTTCAGCAGTGTGGCTTCACTGGCTCCCACGTCGTCTCCAGTCTTAATCAGCTGCATGCCACTCAGAATTTCAATGGTGCCCCTGGAGATTCTAGTGATAATGCCTAAAGCCTGGAAGGAGGAAGTCTTCTCAGGCCCCAAACCAGTGTTCTAGGCTGGCACAGTGACTTCACATGGGGCAATGGTAGCAATACAGGTGGCAGCTGGCACCTTATTGGCCAGCAGCATGTCCCTGATCTCAGTGAGGTCCTCCTTCATGAACACAAAGCCTACTTTCCCCCAGATATGAAGCAACAGTTTCTCCAGAGCTGGGTTGTTTTCCAGATGCCCTTGAATGACCTGGTGCATCATGGTGTTCTTGCCCATCAGCACCACAGCCTTCCCACAGAGGGACATGAGGATCTGCTGCATCTGCTTGGAGCCCACATTGCTCCCACAATGAAGCATTTTAGATAATCATCCCAAAGTTAGATGATCTTAAGGAAGTAGTTGGACTCCCAGGTCACCCTGTCTTCCCTGGGCATCACGGTGGTGCGTCAGGGATTGCCTTGCAGGGTTGAAAGACGATATCACTCTCATGAGGACGCCTGGCAAGAGGAGGTCTCTCATGGTGCTTTTTATCTCAGGAGTTTTGTTGCCCATTCCTGACCCCTGGAACGGGCCAGGACCGCCCTGGTCCATCCCAACATGTTATAACAACTTTGGGCTTCAAATAGAAAAGGGTGAGGATCTCAGTCAGAAATTCAGGATCTCAATCTCAGTCTCAAATAGAAGCCCAGGTACTCCTTATGCAAACTTCCCCCATTCCCTCTGGACAACTGACAGTGTCCTATGTTGATGGGCACGTAGTGTTTTATATTTTTGTAACTCAAGGGCCATTCTGGTGACTTGCCCAGAACAAAGGAAGAAAGCCTCAAAGGGAATCAATGTCTTCACTAAAAACTGCCAGCAACCTCCAAATGGCAGCTTCTCTGCTTAGGAAATAAATAAGTAGAGTCCCTTCACTGAGACCCACAACACACAGGTTTGCCATCCCTAGGTTAGAGAACGGAAAGACACTGGCACCTAGAGGGAGGGAGGGAGGTACAGGAGTTCAGGTTGATGGACGTACAAACAAGACTGGAAGAAACAAATCCAAACCACAACTTTGCTTTTCACCAACCTAACACAGTCAAGAGGGATTACACAGGGAGGTAGCTGAGGGCAGCACAGGTGAATATATACTCCTTGAGGGAGCACTGCCAGGGAGCCCACAGACCCTGCTGCAAGAGGTCTGCAAAGCTTTCTGCTTGCTTATCATCACCTTGGCAACAAGAGCTTCCTTCCCATTGGATCTATTTATTGAGGTTGTGGTAGAGCAGTGGTTCCCAAAGGGTGGTCCCCAGACCAGCAGAGCAGCAGCAGCACTTGGGAACTTGTTAGAAATGCAAATTTTGGGGCAGCTCCTCAGACTTGCTGAATCAGAAACTCTGGGGGTGGGGACCTGCAGGCTGTGTCTTAATCACCTCCAGGTGATTCTGATGCACACTCAAATGTGATAACCACTGGCCTAGATCTATTTTAATCAACAGGCTCTGTGCTTTGCACTGGGTGGGGTTGCCAGATAAAACACAGAATGCCAAGTTAAATTTGAATTTCAGATGAACAACACTAATTTTAGTGTAAGTATGTCCAAAATATTGCATGGGATAGTTTTCATTTTATTATATATTTATAAAAGCATTTGTTCTATATCCGGAATTCAAATTGGGCATCTTGTATTTTTATTTACTAAATCTGGCAACTGTAGGCGGGGGGACTCCAGAGAGGAAGATGATGGCACAAGCCTAGCCTTTGAAGGGGAGCAGAATTTGTCCCCCCAAAATAAGCCTTTTTGGCACAAGGATTATTTTGGGCTGATTATTTTTAAGGAACAGCCGACACAGGGAAAGCTCTAAAAACCAAGAGAAGTTACCCTTTTGTAAGAAATTTACATTTATAAGGGAAATCTCCATTTGTAGGGATGTCTCCCTCTCTGTACCAAAAAGAGAAGGATGACTCTAAATCTCTAGAAACTCTTATCAATGCAGAAGACAATGACTTAGATCTGCATAACAACCTTACCCTTGTTTACTGTGCTTTTCCTGATAACCTCCCATAACTGGCTCCCCACCCCCAACATCTTCTTGTCTTTAGCTGGAGATGGTATTTAAGGTGATGGCTTGGGCCATTCAGAAGAGTTACTCAGTTGTCCTGAGTCTCTCCCACATATGCGGGAGGTATACATGTTATTAAACTTCTGTTTGTTTTTCTCCTGTTAATCTCTCTTTTATTACGGGGGGGTCTCAGCCAAGAACCTAGAAGGGTAGAGGGAAAATTATTTTTCCTCCCCTACACCCTCAAGGGTCCCCCAGATCAGTTGGGTATGCAAAGCTTTGACATAAATCAAATCGAGAACAATTACAAAGAGAACGTACTCGGGAGTGTAAAACTTAAAGAGCGGGGAATTCTAAGCAAGCACAGAGCACGGGGGCGGGGCGGTGCTGCAGGATAAACCAGAAAAGAATTTAGGAATTGGATTCGAGTTCACAGTTCAGACTCCACGGGTCCCAGCTATTGTAGTTTCTGGCAATAAGACTTGTATTTTTTTTTTTCTCTCTCTGACCAAACCCCTGCCTTGTACCCATTAGGGACCTTTGTGTGAATTAGAAAAAGGCGCCCTTTCCTTGGGTCACTTGAGTGCACAGCTTGGAGCATGGATCCAGGGCTGGAGTTCAGCCCCCACTCACCCCCTCAGCTAAGCACGACACTTTGTGGCAGCTCTGAGCCTGCTGCCCTTGTGACAGGTCCGCCTATTTGCTGGCTAACTTGGACCCATTCCACTTGCTTACACTCGGTCTGCTTTGTTTCAGGGTCCTGGCCACCAGTGGGGGTGCCCTGCCCCCCACCACCCAAGGCTCAGTTTTCTAAAGCCATGTTTGTCAAAAGCATCTGTGTGCAAATTCCTTTGTTCATAATGGTGGCATTCAAGTTGAATTGCGCATGAAATTGTCTTGCTAAAGAAGCAGCTTTCTCTATATAAAAAAGGGCAAGAGAAATTGAAGGATCTTATTAGTTAATAAGAATTCTGAGTAGTGAAATTCCAAATTAGCATAAAAATTTCTTGTTCAGAGCACGTGCAGCAGCAGAGTAAAAGAATTCTTTTCTTCCTCTTTTTTTGTTAAAGCATTTTGTTCTAAAATAGTATAATCACAATAAGACATTCCAATGTGTGAATTATAGTATATTAAGTCATGACTAATTGCACTGATTTGCATTCAGGGTTTTTTAACATCTGTGTGGTAATTATCCTAATCCAATTTGTTATGCAGAATACAATCAATGTTATGTATGTTAGTGTTTAAGACCCCAACACAATTTCCTGTAATAAAACAGAATGAAATATAAAGGTAGCTCAGGTGGAAAGACAGGCTCATCTTTTATAGATATCAAGCTCCCTTTCTTGATCTCCAAAATTAGCTGGGGGTGGGGGACAGCGGAGATCAAGCAAATTTAATTAGCATTTTAAAAGGAGGCCCAAGCAAAGAGAGAAAAGAGAGAGCGCTTTCGCTCCTGAGAACAAGCGAGCAAGCTGTATTAAACCCTCAGGAAGAAGACTTGTTTCTAACGGGCTGTGGCTTTCAGAAGCTGCCAGAAATAATGTCCTGACCTCGCCTGATAATGAGCCAATGAGACCATGTTCTGCTGACACTGTGCTATTTCAGTAAGGGTTGTATCTTACCTGAGAGTCAGGGTTTAGCTTTAAACCTTTCATTTTTCTGTCCTTTTAAGAAAAGGATAGAACTCTGCCTAATATCTCCCAGAAAGTCCTAGGAATCTGGGGCATAGACAAAGTATCTGAGCAGACTTGAGGCACAGGCAAAGAAAGCAGCTATGTCTGTGTAATTTGTAGGGACACTAGTGAGCCCTCCCCCCCAACCACCTCGAGACACACACACACACACACACACACACACACACACACACAAAAACACACGAAACCTTGCTGCCCCCTCTCAGATGTCTGAATTTCCTACTGTAGGGGAGAAAGACAAATCCTCCACCCTCTGGGTCCTTCTGGCTGGGCTATGAATTAAATTGACATGAGACAGAATAACAGGAGAAAATCAAACAAAAGTTTATAACATGTATACATGGGAGAGACTCAGGAAAACTGAGCAACTCACCAAAATGGCCAAGCTGCCGGCTTAAATATCATCTTCAGCTAAAGGCAAAGGAGGATGTTGGGGGTAGTGGTTTCTGACTTCAAAGGGGAGGAAGGCAATTCATATGGAAATGGACAAGCAAATGTTTGGTAAACAGAACTTTGATAAGAATGGGCTTAGCAAGGACCCTCACAGTCTACCTATACCCAGGGTTATCTATGGTGATGGCCTGTCTTGGGGACGGGCCTTTTATCTTAAATTCTTCTAGGCAGTTAGGGAGGAAGGTCAAAGTTTCTTTTAGAGTCCTTTGTTCTTAAAAATAATCAAGGCAAGGCAAAGAGACACATTTTGGGGTGGCCAATTCTGATCCCCCACACTACTTTGGGACATCAGTCCCTTAACTTTTGGATTTATCCCCTTTAAAAAATGCCAATCTGCCTCACCAAAAATACAAACATTAATGAGCAGTACTTAGGGCCGGGCCCGTGGCTTAGAGGTTAAGTGCGTGCGCTCCGCTGCTGGCGGCCCGGGTTCAGATCCCGGGCGTGCACTGACGCACTGCTTCTCTGCCATGCTGAGGCCGCGTCCCACATACAACAACTAGAAGGATGTGCAACTATGACATACAACTATCTGCCGGGGCTTTGGGGGAGAAAAAGGAGGAGGATTGGCAATAGATGTTAGCTCAGAGCCCGTCTTCCTCAGCAAAAAGAGGAGGATTAGCACGGATGTTAGCTCAGGGCTGATCTTCCTTACAAAAAAAAAAAAAAAATGAGCAGTACTTAACCAGCCTCTTTCAGAAATAAGAGAGTAGAGAGAAGGTGAGGGTATGAGATGTCTGAGGAGCAACAGAGGCCCTGAGGGAGTAAAAAGGGCCTGAGTAGCAAAGGTGGCGGATACTACAATGTTCACTTACTTTGCCATTCTGCTGAGTACAGATGTCCTGGTATCCTCCAAGGGTGGAGGGAAGCCATGTCTATGGGGAAAGGGAGCAAAGTAGACATGAGATCCCCTCCAGGCCCCCCTACCCTCTACCCACCCTCTCACCAACAACCAGTCCCCATTACCTTTCTATTGCCATCTTGGTCAATCCATAATGTAAACCCATGGGTCCCCAACCTGGCTGATAACCAGAATCACCAGGAAAGCTTGTTAAACATATAGAGGCCTCATTCCCTCATCAATTCAGATTCAGTAGGTATGAGATAGGGCACATGCATGGGTATTTTTAAAGCTGCTCCCGAGGTGATTCTAATGGACAGCTCCACTGGGCAACCACTGGCATCAGCTTAGGTTTCCCCCCAGGTGCGCCTGCCTAGGCAAATGGAGGTTACAGTGTCGTGGCAAATGCCAGACATAATGAGCAAAACTATGTCCCAGCAGACTAGGCCTGGAAGA